CCCCCCCCCCCCCCCCCCCCCCCCCTTCATTCTTCTGCAGTGAGCCTAATGCTGCAGTAAGCTCCAGTATAAAGGACCTCTTATGTATCTTTCCACAGCGGCATTGTGTACCTGGCACTGTGGTAAGCTTGTCCTGAGGACGTGCACATTTCCAACATATTCCAAATTCTTTGTTATCTTTTTGCAGTGTGTGTTTGCCTGCTGCTCTGTGTCACAACTCACCAGCACTGCACCGAAGCGTTGCTCCAGTTCCTCCTCGGGTGGCATCGGGAGTTTGAGCCCCGTTTGTCTCTGGGGGCCCGTGGAGCCCGGAGGGGCCACAGACGATGCCGCCGCCTTGCCCTCCTTTCCTTGAGGCACCTCCATGCTTCCTGCTGCGTTTCCCATGATTGTCAATACAATAGATCCAAGAAATACTCCCCAAAAAAACCTGCTTCCGCTAAAAAGATGATAATAAAAAGTATTTTGTATTTATTTATTCAAAGTTTGAGGCTTTGGCCCGTGACCTTTCGTTATTTCCATGACCCCCCCACCACAGTCTGTTGACTCAAGCGCCGCTCATTACTCGTCCATGATTCTCAAACCAGGAGAAAGCAGCGGGGTGAAATCCACCCCTGCCTCTGAATGAGATCCTGAAGCATTATGAAACCCTAGAGAGAGGGGAAGGGGATATCCTAAAGAGTGACAGGCTGAGTGACAGCTGAGTGAAAGAGGGAAAAAAGGGGGAGGAGGAGGTAAAGAGTTCAGAGGACGAGGCTGCAAAAGAGAAGAAGAAGAAAATTAAGATTCACCAGGAAAAGATATCACTTCTGTGCTTCAGGTGGAGGAGAAAACTCTAAACTACTCCAAAAGCTGCAGAGGTCTCTGGTGATGAGACTTAGCTGGTATTTGGAAGCCCTCCATCTGCTGTTGGATGCTGGGAGTCTCTTTGATCTCCGCGTCCAGAGGAGGAAAAGAGGGGAAAAGGCAGCGATCCAGCAGGCAGACACCCTGTCTATCCGAAACAGGGACAGAGAGAGAGAGAGAGACAGGCGGCAGCAGTGGAGGTAGTACCTCACAGCTGAGAGCAGGGAGCTCTCTGGGTCCTAGTGCCTCCAGGTACAAGGAGGCACATGTGACTTGTAGAGCGTCTCATTTCTGACATAAACTGAGCCACACGTTCAATTTTAAAGATTGATTTTCTATATTTCTTCCATACAAATCACATCAAAACATCAAAACTGTATCTAATAATAAATGTTGTTTGTGTATCAAAGCCTGATATCTCTTGTTCCTCTTTCGAGCTCCATTAAAAACTCATCAATGAGCCTCACTGTTGCACTCGCTGACTTGTTCCTTCATTGTCATGAAAACACACACACACACACACACACACACACACACACACAGTAGTTTATTCAGAAATATGGAAATAGGTTATGATCCCATACGATAAAACGAAAGTTACGAATGTAACTACGGTTCTATGAATCCTGGATGACCGCCAGAGGCAGTGCTTCACACTGGATATCTTCCGTCTCGCGCATGCGCAGGTCGAATATTTATACCAACAAAGTCACCTGTGACCTCGGATGACCCCCGTCGTCTATAAGTTCCGGTGTCATCCTGAGTTCAGTCCTATGGAATCTTCTCGCGAGTTCACGGGATTCCGAGTGACCAAGAACTCTGGCGGTCATCCAGGATTCATAGAACCGTAGTTACATTCGTAACTTTCGTTCTATTTCATCCTTACTGACCGCCAGAGGCAGTGCTTCACACTGGATGACTTATACCAAAAGAGTCACGAGGAAGCACAGTAACTACCTCGTATCGCTCCGGCAGAGAAAATTGGCCAAAGAACCCTCCCCAGTGGGTGAGGGGTGGCAACGTTAACTCTGTAGTGTTTGGTGAATGTGCTCGGTGATGCCCATGAGGCCGCAGCACATATATCCTCCACAGGCACACCTCTCAGGGCTGCCCTTGGCGTGGAGACACTCTTGGTAGAGTGACCCTTCACCCCGGATGGCCGAGCGCAGTCGCTCGCCTTGTATGTATAGGCAATGGCCTCCACTATCCAATGGGATAGGCGTTGTTTTTTTAGGAGCTGGGCCCAGATCAACCTGACCTCACAATAAGACCGCAGACTAAGCGACAAAGGGAAGCAGTATATGCGAAGCTTCTCTGTCTTTTTCTTCTGAGCTCACTCTGAAGCAGCTTGTCCTTGCACTCCCACTCACTCAGGCCATCTGTAAGGATACTGTAAATGAATTAGCGCCCCCTCACCCCAGCCATGAAACATCATAGAAATCCTCCCACGGAGCCTCCCATAGGTAGAGACACCCACATACAACATCCATTCGTCCTGCATATCCAGGCAGACACATTTTCTTAATGAGGCGGAGCCCCCCTTCCCCTTAAGTGACAAGTGTAAGCGTCAGCGGGTGCAGAATTTACATGAAGAGATCGAATGCATGCCCACATAGCCCTCTCCCCACACACACACATACATACACACACAAGCAATCATACATGGAGACTGACGAAGTGCATGCTGACACACTTGCACATCCTACACTCTCACATGCCCCCCCCCCCCCCTCCTCCCCTCCCTGATGATTAGAAAGTGGCTCAAGGACAACTTTCTACGAGGGCAATGACAAAAAATGAAATCTGCCATGAGAGACTGACTCTGGCTGCAGCACAGAAGAAGTGCCCAGAGTACGTATGATGTATAATCCGAGGAGGCAAAGATGTGATAATAAATAGCCAGGGGCTGGATGATTGGGAGGAAACTTCTAGAGCAGACAGTGAGTTCTGTCCGTGATGCACTTAGAAACGTACTCAATGAGGCTTGATGAATCGAACGTGCTGCCCCATCTAATGAACTCTTCAGAGTTAATTGAGTGTGTCCGTTGTCATTTGGTTGATAAATAACATCACTGATATTATATTGGTAATCAGTTCACTGCTCCCATCGGTTGCAGTAAACAACAGTACTTTTGAAAGTAGTTCCATGTTTAGTGTTTGTGTATTTCTTAGTGCTGCCACAAATACTTTTTTTCCCTGAAGATTCTCTGCAGCACAACAAATCATTTCACGTGAAGCAAAACCTGGACCTCGAAGGAGGAATATTCACACGATTTCCTCTCTCTCTCTCTCTCTCTCTCTCTCTCTCTCTCTCCAGCAAACTACATCTACATTTTGCACAGAAAAGCAGCAAAGAAAATACTCCTCCTTGATATTCTCATCTCTCAGAGTGATTGTGATTCAGACCGTCAAGTAGCACATCCTCCCGTCTGCAACGCATCATCTCGCACTGCAGCACTCTCAGCAGCTCTTATGACATTGCACCGGAGAGCTCGGCTGGCAATAGAGCCGGGCCCTGTTCACTCCACCCGTCCTCTAATAATACTCGTCCCCAGAGGCAAGGCAAGGCAAAGCAAGTTTATTTGTATAGCACATTTCAACAAGGTAATTCAAAGTGCTTCACATAAAACCATTACAAGCATCAAAACATAAGGCAAAAGAAAAGGAGATTTAAAAACAATTAAGAACATTCATTGAAACAATAAAAAACAGTGTAAGAAATAAAATACAGTAGTAAAATGCAGAAATGCAGGAAATTGATTAATATATTAATTGAATCTGGTTCAATTAAAGGCAGCAAACAGAAAAGTCTTCAATCTTGATTTAAAGGAGCTGAGGGTCTCAGCAGACCTGCAGCTTTCTGGGACTTTGTTCCAGATATGTGGAACAGAAACACTGAACGCTGCTTCTCCATGTTTAGTTCTGACTCTGGGAACAGAAAGTAGACCGGTCCCAGACGACCTAAGGGGTCGGGATGGTTCATAAGGTAGCAGCAGATCAGAGATGTGTTTTGGCCCTAAACCATTCAGTGCTTTATAAACCAACAGCAGGATTTTAAAGTCAATTCTTTGTTTGACAGGAAGCCAGTGCAAAGACCTCAGAACTGGAGTGATGTGATCCACCCTCCTGGTCTAAGTGAGGACTCGAGCTGCAGTGTTCTGAATCAGCTGCAGCTTTCTGACAGACTTTTTACAGAGACCTGTAAACACACCGTTACAGTAGTCCAGTCTGCTGAAGATAAATGCATGGACAAGTTTATCCAAATCCTGTTGAGACTCAAGTCCTCTAATCCTTGATATACTTTAGAATTGAAGCCATCTACAAGCTCATTGACTGAGATGCAAGAGAGCGCTGGTGTGGAGGAGAACTTCTGAATAAATAGTTCACTGGTGTTTTCAGAGATGTAACGCTTCGTCACAACCTTGGTTTGGACATTTGTGTGCAAGGAGATTGCACTCTCAAAGAAAACACAGAAATGATCAGAGAGTGCAACATCAGTCACAGCGACCCTGGAAATGTTTACACCTTTGGTGATGATTAGGTCCAGAGTGTGCCCCCTGTTGTGTGTGGATCCTGTCACATGCTGAGTCAGATCATAGTTATCAAGGACACCACATAGTTCTATAGACCCTCTGTCCTGGGGATTATCAACATGGATATTAAAATCGCCAACAATAACACAGTCAAAATCAATACAGATTATAGACAGCAGTTCAGTAAACTCATCAAAGAAGGTTGCACAGTATTTAGGCGGTCTGTAAATGTTTAGGAATAAAGCTTGAGTGGAATTCAGAGCCACATATTCAAAAGAACTAAAATGACCAAAGGACATCTGCTTGCATTGAAGAGAATCATTAAATAAAATAGCAACTCCACCTCCTTTCTTATGCGCTCGTTTCACTCATGAAACTGAAGTTGTGAGGTGTTGATTCAATAAGAACAGCTGCACTGTTATCTTGATTTAACCATGTTTCAGTTAAAAACAAAATGTCCAGTTTGTGCCGAACAATAAAATCATTGATTAAAAATGTTTTTCCTGACAGAGACCTGACATTTAATAAAGCTAAGTTTAAAGCTTTCTTTGCCCAATTTATTTGGACAGGCTGACAGGAATGTATGTTAAGTTTGATAAGTTTGCAGGTTTACTATTGTTTATTCGCAGCCTCACCTTTCTTTTTCTATAAACTAGCAGGACAGGAATTGAGAAGGCTAGCTGCATACAGGGCCCCGACTTCTCCTGGAGAGAATCATTGGTGTCATTAGCCTTGTAGCCTGGACCCGGAAGATATCAATTATTGCCTTTATCAGGTAGGGGAGTCAGAGGATGGTTGTGGAGCCGAGGTGGAGGTGGGGGACGGGCAGGGCACTTTAACTTTGCCGATTGTGTCAAAACTGGCTCAGGACTTGGAGCCAGTTTCGGGGGTGGGGCTGGAGCTGTACGTCGAGGAGCGGGGCGAGGAGTGTGTTTGGTTCCAGCAATGACCAGCTCTTTCATGTGGTCAGTGAACTCCAGGTGGGGGGAGGATGGGGAGAGTGTGAGAGAGGAAAGGGACCTGGATGGAGTTTAGGGGGTGGAAGTAGGTTGCTGGGGAGCACCCCCTCCGTGCCAAAAATACACCTCCATCAGCAGTATTTTCTGCGCGGACACTAATCAGGTCCACTGTGCTCAGGTGTGGCTTCATGAGGGCTCCCTGTCTATTGTTTCATTAGAAGTGTTTGCTGAGCCGTGTGATCTAGGACAGGGCTTGAGAGAGGCGATTAATAACTCAGCATGAAGTCTTCGGGGCCAACTTTGAAAACTGTGCCACTTCTTTGACGAGGAGGGGAGGGAGGAAGGAGCCGGAGGGGCTTCTAATAAGGACAGTGAGGTGAGTGTTTTGGTGGCTTGTGCACGTGTGGTTTGCATGGATGCATCTACAACAGTGTATTTAAAGTCTGTCGCAATAATATCAGTGCATTCCGTCCGTCGTATTATTCTTTGTCTTCATTCTATTTGGGGAATAATCATGATGCCATGTTTTGGAACTACAGTTCCCATCACATATTTTTTACTGAAAACCAAAAACGATCGTCAGTAAAACAACACCATGATGGTCAAACGGTGTAATTAATCCACGGTTGACATGCGTGCCGAACCACGAGGTGTAACCGTACGGATCACGGATGGTCCGTTACATTACAGTCATTTAATGTATATAACAATTCAGATTCTATCACATTTCTACAGGAGCAATTTTGGGGTTAAGTGTCTTGCTCAAGGACACATCGATATGCAACTAGCCGGGGATCGAACCGCTGACCCTCTGATTGACGGACGGCCCTGCTCTCCACTTAGCCACAGTCGCCCACCACTAACATCATGTATACTGTTGAGAAATATGTATATTAATTCAAAGTCCACTGCATGAAATATTATTTGGTTCCCGGAAACCGAAATTTGGTGGGAGGCACAGCCTTGTTGCCAAAGGAACTGCATCCGGGGGATGTTGGCGAGCTAGCCAGGAGCACCGGAGCAGGTGAGGAGTTGGAGATGGAGTTGGTGCTCACACTCTGTGGAGCCAGCTGGAGCCCACAATGGCAGCCCGAATCATGGACGAGCCTCATCACGTCGTTACGGAAGCGCACACCCACCAGAGCGTACAAGATCGGGTTGAGGCAGCAGCGGGTGTACGCCAAAGTGCAGGTGATGTACTCCAGCAGCAGACCGCAGAACGACCCCGCCATTTTACGCGACAGCACCACCGTGTACGGCAGCTGGAACACCAGGAAAACCAGCACCAGAGCCACCATGAGCTTCAAGGTGCGCTGCCGATGCCACTGCTTGCCCCGCCGGAGTGCCTTCCCATCCCACAGCACTCGAGCTATCAAGGAGTAGCACGTCACCATGACGGAGAGGGACAGGCAGAAGACGGCGATGATGGCTCCGTTGGTGGTCATTTTGACTCTTTCGCATTTTATTATGCCGCAGTACGCCTCGCTCTCCTGCCACGCCACCTCAGAGTAGAGGATTTCAGGCAGGCTGAGGAGCACTGCGACCAGCCACACGCCAACGGCGGCAACTTTCCCGCCCATTAGAATCCGACTGCGCAGCCTGAGCATCTCTTGGGCTCGAGCCACCACCATGTAGCGGTCAACGCTGATGCAGGCCAGCAGCAGGAGCCCGCTGTACGTGTTGATGGCGTAGCATGCACGCGTGGCCCTGTAGAGGGTGACGGAGGAGCTCCAGCCCAGAGTGTCGACGGCCTGCAGCGGGAGCGTGAGGAGCAGGAGGAGGTCGGCCAGCGCCAGGTGGAACAGGAAGACGTCGGTCATGGAGCGCAGCCGGAGGCGGCGGTAGAGAGCGAAGGTGGCGATGACCAGGCAGTTCCCCACCATGCCCAGCAGGAAGACGAGGCAGAAGATGCTAATCTGGAAGGTTTTGATGGTGAGCTCCTGCTCTCCAGCCTCACAAAAGTCAGAATCCCAATCGCTGAAGTCTGTGATGTTACTTGTATTCCACGACGAGTAGTTTAGAAAGTCATCGCCGTCGTAATCAGTATAGTCGAGGCCGGCGTGGATGACATCCATTGCTGGCGGGGAAGAAATGAAGACTGGTAAATCATTTATCAATGAGAAGAAAATATATATTTTAAGATTTTATTATTTTTCGGTGGATGGACAGTGTAGACAATTGTAGAGAAATGTATATTGAATTTGGACTTTTGAATACGCTTGTCAGAGCATTGTTAGTCTCGCGCCACCATCAGGTGAACCTGTCTGTGTGTGTGTGTGTAAACATTATAACAATACATGTATAAGTGGCTGGTTGCAGCTTTGGGGCTAAGTTTAGGTTCAGCTGTGAGTTTGGACACTTCATCATGGTGTTGAGAAAAACCAACAAGATGGACGTAATGTGCGTCTTTAATTTTTGATGATTATATCTGGCAGGATGTGTGAACAAGCTCAGAACATTCAGGTGTTATTTGGTTCTTACATTTTTAAAGCCGTTTAAAATATCATCCAATTACTCTCTAATAATGTGCAGATAGAACCATCGCTTCAGACCACGAGTTTCAGCTCTAGGACTACATTTAAAAGAGGATAATTTACATATAATCTAGTGAAACACACGGCTTGAAGACTAAAATTCATATTCTTTAAGTTCTTTTCAATATTTTACATTTACTGAAGGTAGTAAGTTCAACAACCTATAACCTGCTCAATAACAGCCTTCTGCTGCATGTCTGTAGTGATTATTATGAGTCATTCTGGGCTTCAACGAAATGTCACAGTTGAACCAGCTTGCGTGAGGACTTTAATTACAAAAACCTGGACACCGGCCTGGCTTGATTTTGAGCAGAATGCTTCATGTCACGATATCAGGAAACACTACCTCCTCCACACTCAGGTTGAAAGTGAGAGACCTGCAGCTTTGCTCCTCAGTCTGACTAAGCAGCTGTGATATTTTAGTCATTCGGCTCTGGGTTGCGTTAGACTGGCACTGGGTCGTTGTTACAGGGGAAACTGTGGGCAGCTTCAGCGTCTACAGATCAGTCAGTGTCGCGTGCCAACAGCCTTTACATGCAGTGCCACAATCACCTTTTTTCATTTCATCTTTCACTCTGCAACTCAGTTATTGTTGAGGCTACTCGCAGTATTTAATTGTGCTCTTGTTCTTGTCTTCTTCTTTGGTGGTGGATATAGATATTAAAGGAGTTTCCCTTGAAAAAGGTAAGAGGAAGTTAACAGACTGGTGAGCAGAACGGCGCTGGGATTCATCTGATATTTGTATATTTTCTTACTTACTAAAAGTTAAACTGGTTCTCAACAGATGTACATTTTGCAAACAGGAGTTGTTGACACATGGTGAGTTGTGAGGCTAAATGTGATTTAGTGTTATTGTAACTTTATACTCCAGAATGAACGGAGACATTATTTAGCGTGCAGTTGGATGTAGACTCGGTCAAAACGGTCGTTTTTCCAAGTTGTGTTGGAATACAAGTTATGCTTTGTAACTTTCCACATATTTGTGGAAGAGCACGGAAACATTTGATGATAAAATACAGAACATTTGTTGGTGTTTTGCTCAGGTAGCTGAAGGAAAAAGAAAATGTCTACTTATAGAGAATCTGAGTCATGGCGTGTCTTCTGATGAGACGTAACCCCAAACTGACGAACAGTTTTGATTCATATTATGATTTACTAACTGTTACAGGCCTCCTATCTCCATGAGGGTTTACAACATGACAATAGTGTTAATGTGCTATTTCAAGTACTAATATATCAAAAACTCATAGAATCATAGTCCACAATGCAGCATTGTTCTTGACTTTTATTTATTTCAGTGGTCTTCCTCTCTGTGTCGCAACTGCATTAGTGCAATATACTGTATAATACGTCTCCCACAAATAATTAATAATATGGCACACTATTTATTGACCTCTCACATTTTGCATTTGATACAAATAAAAGGAGTGCCACTGGGGTCAATTCTTGGTCCACTATAATATATAAATATATATAAATATATATATATAGCAGCATTACTTCTATGTATTTCAATGTCCATTCTGATGCCGATGATAATGTGTTGTATGTTGTACTCAGGCCCCGACCCATGAGTCCTAAATGCAGAAAGACAGAATATTTGGTGTTCTCCACATCTGGTTCTCTGGCTGTTCCAAAATTCAAATTTTTCTCCATAAAAAAACAAACATAAGAAAAGTGAACTCTTACGGCACTAGACTTGCATTCAGTCTTTATTAATGTCTGTACTATAGAGACTGTGGTGTAGTTACACTCTGCCGTCTTCACTCAAGCTGTTAAACTATTACCGTCACTTTTAAAGTCTCTCTCTCTGTATCGCACTATTGGACGACCATCACAGTTGAAGGGATACACATCTCAAAATATATTTGGCTTTATTAATATCCTCTCCTCTCATTTAAATGTTAAACACAAGCTAATGATTATTTGAGAATGGAAAGTCCCTCTGTGTGTACTAATAATGGCAGCACTGCACTGTGGACCGACGTATGCACATTTTAAATGAAGTTACCTTTTTTTAAGCCTAATTATCAGATGTTTATAACTCTCCTAATTGTTTCTATTTATTCAGTTTTTTAACAATAAATAAATGTAATCTTCTGCACATTGTCTATCTCAGCAGCAGCATCCGCTCGAGTGACACGATGTCTTAAAAATACATTTTCTGCTGCTCGATCGTGAGGGACAATCTTAAGACTAAAACATTTTTTCCACTCCCGCAACATTTTGTCTTTCATTCTCAAATGTCTTAAGCTTTTGGATCAAAGTATAGACGGGTTGTTTCTTCATATTCTTGAGGGTGTTTTTGGTCATCTGACTTTGTATTCTTTCCTTATGCTGGCGGTCAAAGATTACGCTAAATTTTAAGATTGTAAATATTTTCTTTCCTTGCTTGTCAAACATATCTGGATCTAAATGAGGTCTGATCTACTTGATCACATCATTTCGATTTTGAACCTAAAACATTTGTTGTCAGTTTTCAGTGTCACATTATTTAAATATCGTCAACAGTCCTGCAACTCTTCTCTTAAACTGCGTCTGTAATAACAACGAACAATATCAGGACATCCCAACTCCCTTGCATTCAGGTCGGAAGTGAGATCACGTCAAGTAGAAATGGTGTCTGTTGTTGTACAGTTTGAGTGGAGCAGTTCTATACTTTTCAGTCATGTTTCACAGCTGTGTGTGTCACACTGGTGTCACACGGTTGCCACGTGGGAAACCATGAGCAGCGTTATGATCAGCAGCATCACATGCCAGTGAACTCAGTTTCATTTCTTTTTTACTGTCGCTGCAGTATATTAGCTGCAGTAATATTATTAATATTTTTTCCTTGTTAGACACATGGGGTTTCCTGTCAGGGAGGTCTGGCTTACAATAAATAATCTCCTTTAAGTAGAATTGGGAAACATTTAGTTTATTTGACATTTTTACAAACTTTTACAAAGCAGTGACAAAGAGCTGATTTCATGATGTAATATCAGTAAGTGACTTTAATTGAATACCTGCAAATTAATCTGAATATTTTACATGTAAACTCAGTCATGTTTATAAATGTATATATTATTATTATATATGAATATATATTTCTAATTTCCATATATATTGATATTCATTAAATATATAAATGTTTCAGCTCAATGAGTATTCATCACAAAATCTGAAAAAGAATCTCCCAATCAGTGTTGTTTAAAATCTTAAAACCTAAGATTGTCTGAAGTGATCTTACCTGTGTTGTTTGAGGTGTTAAGCATGTCACCAGCCTTCCTGCTGTGTCTGAGACAGAGATTTATGAAGCTGCCACTCTTTAAAAATAACCCTGCGGGCAAAAAACCATAGCCACCTCCAGCCAATGAAACCAGTTCTGTGTTTTGCTGACCTTGCCATACCCTCCTGGGTTAGTTGTTTTCGTCAGCAGGAGGACGATAAGATTTTAGAGCGCTTTCATATCTCTGAAGCTGGTTCTGTGGGATGCTTTTGATCATTTGTACCAATTCTGATAAGATTCTGATCTGCAAAATGAAGTTGCTACCAGTCAACAGATGTTTATCGTCACTGCAACTGCACGTGGATTTTTGGTCAGTAATTATAATCGGTATTACGTTTTTAAATCCACAAAAAACATTTAGTACATACTGTACATTTGGCAATATTTTATTTCCTTTGACAAATCTGAAATATGTCCTAATAAAAAGAGTCAAAATTCAGTGCCATGCTCACAGCATCGAGCTGTAGGTTCAACGGGCGGACAACACATGCAAAAACATTTCAGGGTGTGACTGCTGACGGCCACCGAAGCCGGTTCACAACCTTCCGTTTAACTCTGTGGTTATATGGTTGTTCCTGGAGTTATCAAGTCACATTAGGGTCAAACACATCAAGTCCACATGACAAAAAGAACATTTTGCTCCATTTTTGTGTAAAAAAAATTAAAAGTTTAACTTTGTATTTAGTTAAGCTCTATTGATCTAACTAGGAAGTTGAGACCAAGATATATTTTATACAAAAACAGACGTGACATAAATAACACTAGAGCTGCAACTTATTTATTAATCTATTTTCATTATAGATTAATGCGCCGATTATTTTCTTGATTAATCAATATGTATTTTGGTATGAAATGGAAACAAAATGCCACCAAGAATCCAACGTGACTTATTCAAATGTCGTGTTTAGTCCGACCAACAGTCCAAAAAACAACAATATTTAGTTTAGAACGACATAAAAACAAAGAAAAACGGAAAAAGATTTTAAAACACTAAATTAAATTGTTGGCATTTCCGCTTAAAACTCAATCGATTGTTAAAATAGTTGCAAAGCTAACTTATTATGTGATCTGATGTCATGGATGTCATGGATCTCCAGCATGTCTTTATGAAGGAAAACACAGGTATGGAGATGCCTTGTCGTGTCAGTGATGACCTCTGACCTTTTCATAAAACTCACAGTGGTGAGTACAGCAGCAGTGTGAGGATCTGTAATAATAAAGTGGAGATAGTACTGCAGTTTGTAAAATGTTAAAAAAAGGAGAAGCCATGTTCTCATAAAAATACAACTTTCTTTATTTTTTAAGTGAGGTTTAATCTGCTGCTATACAACTGAATTCCTTAGTACTTCAAAACACATTTCCTGTAACTATTAGATTTCCACTGAGAGCATGAATAGGTGTATATTCATTAGAACAACGAACTCTGTGAAAAGCATACATTTTGTATTTTTGGAGTTTCGAGGTTTAGCTTTTAAAAAAGAGGCTATAACTTGATGAAGGCCTGTTTCACACTAATGCTGAAAGTCATTTATCGTATATTTATTTGTGTTCGTGCATTTCTTTGTGTTTTATTGACTATTTTATTTAGGCAAAGGTTGTGTACAATTACTTCTGTTTATACAAAATGTAACATTTATTAACTTCTTCTTTTGTCAAATGGGAAATGGGTTGATATTTCTTAAGGTAAGGTGAAAAAAAAGTGAGGTTTTGCCGTCAGTTCGGTCGTATAATTACATTTCCTCAGAGAAACTTCCTCAGAGAAACTTCCTCAGAGTACTTCTCCAAACCAAGACCACCGCCAGCTGGCTGTCTCAACAGCTCCGCCCACAAACAGTTTAAATAAAGAGCGGCTCCACAGTTTAACCCTTTAACTTCATTAATATTCAGTAATGAATAGCTCCGGTGGTTGTGCTGTCCATGTTTGAGTACAAATACATAATAACGCAATAAGCCTTTTATTAGTGACTTACTGACATCCATAACTGCAGACCTGATAGCTTATTATAATGCAAATATTGTTCTGATTAATGTTATATATAATCTAATCAATAACATTATTAGAGGTCATAGGAAGTCACTGGATAACAGGTTGTTGTCTGAAGCTTGAGGGAACAAATATGTGTAATATAAAAACAATTGATTGTTTATTA